CTCTCTCTCTCTCTCTCTCTCTCTCTCTCTCTCTCTCTCTCTCTCTCTCTCTCTCTCTCTCTCTCTCTCTCTCTCTCTCTCTCTCTCTCGCGTGAGAATCCGTTTTGCAAGAATAAAGGCTCTTGAGCATGGGCACTGGGGGAGCTGCTGGTTGATGACCCTAATAAGAGGAGAGGGTTGGGAGAAACGATTTAAGTCTTTTCACAAATTTCTGGGAAAACTCTTAGGGTATTTAAGAGGGTGAAACTTTGGGAACTCTAACAAACAAAAGGCTATCCGTTTTCTTCTCTGTGACAATATTTGTGTTTTAGTACACGAATGAACCAAAATGGCAAAATGTGTAAAAACATGAAGACAATTCTTTACATGGGTGATGTGTTCGTGTTAGCGACAGCTTGGCAACTAAGCAAGACTGTATCTACTTGGACGTCAGTCACTTCATGTCTTCTTTCCAAAGCGAAAGGCAACATTGCAGTAATGTACATTTCAGCCACATTTACTGGGCATGGTCAAAATGTTTATTCCCCTGAGAATGTCTGGAAGGCCTTAGCTCTGTCAGGGTCAAACATGGGAAAATAAGCGGATCTCGTGTGATGCTGTCCTGGGAGAGACACTCAGGTCGTGCGCCCCCTCAGAAGTTGGCACGTCGTGAAAAGATCCGATCTGTGAAATGCTGTGCAAAATGATTTCCTGCCGTGTGGTGAAAAACATTTGCACTGCATGGTGGAAAATAATCTGGCGAGGCCGTTCTTGCCCGATCGCTTAGTGCCTCGCTTTGGCACTGCTCTATGACGATGTGCTCGAGTGCAGGGAGGCGCAAGAGGGAGAGAAGTGCCACAAGGCGTGCATGCACACACACACGTGAGGTGAAGAGGCTTCATAAGTGTCTCTCTCTCTCTATTAAGGTTATTTCAGCTCACGAATGTCACCTTAGGGGCTAAGTTGTTCAGGGTCGCCGGCCACTGGTCGTGGGTTCAATCCCTGGTGGGTTGAGCTTTGACAACTTTGTAACAGTAAGGTACTGATCAGATTCTGGTTAATCAACAGCAACTAACTGACAGCATTGCATCCGCTGGAGGTTTTTAGCAACATCACAACATCCTTTTGTACCTCATGTGGAATTTGTTGAATTCCGTACCATTTGTCGGGAGCAACAACATCCTTACATAACTAACCAACGCTTTTAACTGTCAACATGGACTGTTGTATCTGCTGCAGGGGCTGGAGCTAATCCCATCTGAGAACTTCACCTCTCTGTCTGTTATGGAAGCAGTTGGGTCTGTGATGACCAACAAGTACAGCGAGGGTTATCCCGGTGCTCGATACTATGGAGGCAATGAGTAAGTTTTTCTCTCTCTCTCTCTCTCTCTCTCTCTCTCTCTCTCTCTCTCTCTCTCTCTCTCTCTCTCTCTCTCCTGTCTCTTATACACATCTAGTTTCATTTAGCTGATGATCTGTTTGGGCAGGCA